TGTGTGTGTGTGTGTGTGTGTGTGTGTGTGTGTCCGACATGTTGTGGCCTCAGGATGGAAACATGACGCTGCTTCAGCCTCCTGCTGCTTGTTTACCTGTTTGTTCGTTCGATTGATTGATTGTTTGATTGATTGATTGATTGATTGATTGATTGATTGATTGATTGATTGATTGATTGATTGTTCGATGAATCGGATGTTTTGAAGATGAAGAATCTCTGATGACGCTCTGACTGTAAGATGAATCTGTCTTTAAATATTTAATTAAATCATATTTAACATGAATTGATCATAAACTCATGTTGTTGTCATGTAATAGATTACAGTAGAAATACTTTTACTCGGATACTGTGAAGTACCAGTCTGTTATATTTCATGAACTCTGTATTTATTCAGCAGGTTTTTATTCAGATCGATCAGTTTATTGATTAATAGATGATTTCATGTTTGTGTCTTCAAACTGATATTTGTGTTTCATAAGGTTTAAATTAAATTGTGTTGTTGTGTGTGTAGTAATCAAGTACTGCACTGAAGTACAAATTAAAGGGACTTTACTTAAGGTCAGAAGAGTTTTTATTATTCTTTGTTTCTGTGACAAATTCAGAATTCTTTTATTTCTTAATGTTTCATGATCTTCAACAAGTTTGATGAATAAGAAGAAAAACAAACTAATTTACGCTTTATGATAACATTTAAAAACCTGTTTCCGTTCGTGTGGTTGTTGTGTAAACGTTTTGTGGTTGTTGTGTAATTGTTGTGTGGTTGTTGTGTAAACGTTTGTGGTTGTTGTGTAATTGTTGTGTGGTTGTTGTGTTTGAGTTAGTTCTCCAGATGTTTGTCAGTCGTGTCGAACACAAACGCTGTTGAACTGTTTGATTGTGTAATTGTTGTGTGATTTGACTTCTTGTGTTTGTGTGTCTGCAGCTCGTCTCCGGTGCAGCATCATAACTATGGTTTTTGCTGAGTCATCCCTTGGTGTGAATCCATCCCTTTACTCTCCATCTTTCACGTATCAGATGTCATTGAACTTTTCCGAGAGGGAAAGCCCTACCGTCCTGGCAACCCTACCCACAACCCCCTTGTGCAGCCTGGAGGACTCGTCCTCTGGCCGGGCCAACGGGACCCACGCCTCCTACGAACTGACTTCAGTCGAGGTCGCCGTCCTGGGTTTGGTGTTTGCGTTTCTCTGGCTGATCTCCATCCTGGGAAATGCCCTCGTCTGCCTGGTCATCCACCGGAGCCGACGGACTCAGTCCACCACAAACTACTTTGTGGTGTCTATGGCCTGTGCCGACCTGCTGATGAGTCTGGGTTGCGCCCCGTTCATCCTGCTGCAGGTTGCCGCTGGACGATGGCCGCTGAGCGCCGCTGCCTGCAAAGTTGTGCGCTACGTGCAGCACCTGTGTCCTGGTGTGCAGGTCTACGTGCTGCTCTCCATCTCCGTGGACCGGTTCTACACAATCGTCTACCCCCTCAGCTTCAAGGTGTCCAGGGAGAAAGCTAAAAAGATGATCCTGGCCTCGTGGCTGTTTGACGCGGCCTTCATCTCGCCGTGCTTCTTCTTCTACGGTTCCACGTCCACAGACAGTCATTGTGAGTTTTTCCTCCCACACAGCTGGGGCAGTGTCTCCTACGCAGTGGTTCACCTGCTGTTTGGTCTTCTGGTCCCAGTCACACTAATAGTGTTGTTCTATCAGCGGGTGATCCGCTACATCTGGAGAATCAGCGCCGATGGTCACACGGTGCGCAGGACGATGAACATCGTCCCGCGGACTAAAGTCAAGACCATCAAAATGTTCCTCATGCTGAATTCAGTTTTCTTCGTCACCTGGACGCCCTTCTACGTGGCCCAGCTGTGGCACCCGAGGGAGTCAGAGTCAGCGAGCAGACAGGGGTTGCTGTTCTTCGCGGCCATCGCCTGGATCTCCTTCAGCTCCACGGCGTCCAAACCAACCCTGTACTCCGTCTACAACGCAAACTTTAGAAGGGGCATGCGGGAGACCTTCTGCATGTCGTCCATGAAGTGCTATCGCAGTAATGCGTACACCATCACGGCGAGCTCACGCATAGCCAAAAAGAACTACGTGGGGGTGGTGGACATCCCAGTGCAAGCAAAGACCAAGGACCCGGTTCACGACACATTTGGTCGAGAGGCGAAGGAAAAGAAAGTCGCGTGGCTGACAAACGCCAACCCACCAAACACTTTTGTGTAAATGAGCTCGGACGATGTTCAAACTGTTTAACAAACCAGTGTGAAACTCTATTGATCCACGGCACGCCAGCTAGCAGGAGGTTAACACGCTAGCTCTGTATTCACAGACACACAACGTGCTCAGTTTGTACCGTGGGCTTTTCTCCCAGCAGCCATGTTGGAGGCTCTCAATGATTTTCTACGTCAGATTTGAATCGTAGTTGATTTCTGTGCAGTGTTTCCGAGGATCGTTTTGTTATTGATGCATCAGATTCTGTGTTTTGATAATGTTAGCTTGTTAGCTAGCTAACTGTAGTCCGTGGCCATCTATCAGTGAAACGTTGTTTCGGATTTTCTGCAGTGACGCATGTGGTCCAAGCTAACGCTAGTTACCGTTAACACTGACATCACCGCTTTGCTGCATAACTGTAATGTAACGAGTTTTCCGAGCATCGAACGGTCCCGGTTCCATCGTTCGTACAAAAGATGAAGTGAATGAATCTAACACAAAATAAAACGTCTGCTTCTTTCAGAAAAACCTGAGATTGAAGTGATTTGATCTTAAACACAAATAAAGATGACGACTCCTTCTTCTTCCAGAAGTGAAGCCAAGATATCTCCGAGACAAACGCTGCCATCTTGTGGTGATGACATCATTTACAGTGGAGGCGTGGTATGGAGGCCCCGCCCATACACACCCTCGACCAATAGTCAATATCAGCTGTCAGTCATGACGTCGCAGCCGCCAGGGGGCGGTCCAGATCTTTTGGCTTCATGTCGTCCGTCTTTCTTTATGAACTTTTGATTCACATTCTGTTGGGAAACATCTGTTCTGTTCTAAAAGGATTTTCCTGCTTTAAACTCGAACTGAATCAGAATCACGTCATAGAAACGATCGAAAGACGTTTTAATTTAATGATAAATTCATTTTCTACTTCAGCTGCTGGTGACACACGATTAGTTTGTACATAAACAGAGTATTGTGAATTGTGCTGAATTTCATTTGAATACAGGCTGTTCTTCTTTAACATTTAATATTTATTAGTTAGTCTCCGTCAGCCTGGGTCCAGATTTCTGACCATGATTCAAAGATGTTTTTTATTGTCTGGAGCTTTTGATCCGGTCACATGATCTCGATCGATTGTTTTAGTCTTGAAAGTTAACCAGTGGATGACGTTAGAAACTGTGATCAGTGATTTTCACTGTTCAACGGATCAATTTCATTAAAATGATTCTGAATATTTGACAAAGTCACAGATTCATGAAACAAAGTGAGGATTTGTAAACATGTGACATCATCAGACGTCACAGAATCACTGAGCTCCTTTTATAAACTGAGGATTATTTCATGACAGAAACATTATCCAGCTTCTGATCCGATGTTTGAGAACAAGGAAGAAGCTTCTGTTGAATCACAGAGTCTCAGTCAAACACGTTTATTTTCTTGGGAGATAAAATGAGCAAAGTTCAGTTTAACAAAGTGCTTGTGAAGAAAGTGAAGAAAGTGAAGAAAGTGCAAAAACTTTACCCAAGGAAAAAAAACACTTTAAGCTTGATGGTCCAAATAAAATCCCCAGTAAACATTGATGTGTTTAATTCAAAGAATCAGACACAAGCGAAGAGAAAGAACCAAAGTAAACTGATGGTTTTATAAAGATGAAAATATAAAATAATCAAAGGCTGAAGCTGAAACTACTCAATGATTTTTATCATTTTACTCACAAGAAGCAGAAAATCCAACTTTTCCTTCATGAAAACACTCAAATACAAAAATATATCTCCCACTGTTCATCCTGCTGCTCTGACCTCTGACCTCTACCCTGAGGCCACACGTTCAGAGAATCAGTCAAATTCAAACAAAGGATAAATTAAATATTAAAGCCACATTCACATGTCACGTTACGATTTAATCAGCTTCATCAGAGCGTCTCTGTCGTTTCCTGTTTCCTCTCCGTCATCAGTCATGTGACTCGGGATTCCAGACGCAGTTTATAAAAAATGTTCAGAGAAACGAGGACGAACACATTCAAATCATTGATATTTGTAATTAGCTCTGTGGTGAATCCTAATTTTTTCAAAGTGCTTATACATTTTTACTTTTAAAAACAGAACCTTTTTATTTAAAATAAAAAACCTCAGTTGATCTGTGGTCGACCTTCAATCTGTCAAACATCAAATCAAATGGAAATTCAGTTTCACCTTATTTAAATCTGTCGAGCAGAAAATGTGCATTGGATCAGAAACGTGATGTTAATAAAGTTTGATTTTCTGAAGTCACGTGACCGCCTCGAGCTGCGGCGCCCTGATGAAGAGCTGACGTCCGACCTACGAGAGCAGTTTCATGAATCAGGAACTTGAACGCAGATTCATGTTCGTCTACGAAACAAGAAACTGGCGGAAAGAAAATGTGTATCTGCCACTTCCTGTGTGTTAGTGTGAACGTTAACATGTGTGTTGAGGATGATTGACAGCAGCAGTTTATCTCAGCAGTCTGCAACCTCTGTCAGAGGCGGAGCGTTCCCTTGCCGCTCAGGTTAACCCTGACTGATGCTGCTGACGCTGTTCTTGCTGTTCTTGCTGTTCTTGGACGTCTTGGTGCCGCCGCCGCTTTGAGGCGTTCTCTGCTCGTCCCCGGTCAACAGCGCTTTGATCTCTGACGGGATTTTCCCCTGATCCATGGCCGAACACCACTGTTTGTACTGAGAGATGAAACCACAGTTTATCACATGATTACATGATGATGACAGTTTATTTCCATGTCAGTAACTCTGGTCATGTTGTTGATCTACCATAAAACACACTCAGTTGTGTTTCCTGTATGAAAGGTTTGATAACTTCAGTTTATTTCTAAAATTACATTTCATTTCTATCAATAATCATTATTCCCGATGATCTGCTGCTCAGGACGTCTCTGTACGACCTGTTCATTGATAACGTGTGTTTACCATCTCCAGCTCCTCCCTCAGGGCACAGATGGCTCTCTCTTTACTCGACACCAGCTCCTCCAGGTACTGGTACCTCAGCTTCTTCCTCGCTCGACACTCTCTGGCGCTCTGTCGGCTTCGCTCCAGTTTGGCCTTCAGGTCGATTTTCGCAGGTTTACGTCCACGTTTCCCCGGTTTCTTGACTTTACCAGCCACCATCTAACAAACAAAGCATATCAACGTATGTACGGACGTTTTATTTCTGACAAAAGAACAGGAACAAAGATGAAAACGACAACAGAGTGAAACTCGAGCACAACATAACACATCTCATGGTCGAAGAACGTCAGAAAGAAACAATATATTTAGCATCTTCTCAGATTATTATCGGTTTGAGGTCAGTAAAGTTCATCCTCTGTGACCAGTCGTTTCTAGAAGACACGTGAACCAGGGAGCAGGGCCCGTGTTCAGAGGACCAGAGGCTCCAGAGTCTCAGTGAGGTGAAGAGTTCCATCATGGAGCTCGGTCACAGGACGATGACGACACAAACACACCGACACACGTTAAATGAATCAGTCAAATCTTTTCAGACCTTCTCTGAATCCAACGAGCTGAGACTCGATGCTAACATTAGCTCCAGTTAGCTTCATGTCACCTAATGATTTCACCGCAGTTAGCCGCATAAGCTAGTTAGTGACCGTCACACGGTTTAACTAACCGGTTAGTTAACGAGCAGTCGGTTGAACCCGGACCAGCTGTGAGTTACAGCTGGTCTCAGGTTAACTGGAGTTAGCCACCGTTAGCTTCTCACCTTGTTGTCATCCATGTTGATAGCTGCAGTCGGCTAACGGCTAATATCACGAAAACACGAGAAGCAACAAATTCAACGTGAACCCAAGCTAACGACAACAATTCAGGCTAATTTAAACCCGCGCCAACAACAACAATCTGGACTAATTTAAACCCGCGCTAACAACAATAACTCAGAGTAACTTGTTTACATCCGGTTTGCTCTTCTTCTTCTGCGGTGCATTGGCGGTTGGTAAATTAGCTTAAAGGCGCCTYACCGCCACCTTCTGGACGTGACGTCACGGACTTCCGTAAGCGACACTTGTTTCAACAAATCTTTATTTAAAAATAAAACCTGAACAAAGGAGAGAAGGATTCATTAAAATGTACTTCATCAAAAGATATAAAGTTATAATATCTCATGTTTAACATCTCATTTAACCCAAAAAGTGAAATATTTCCCATCATATATCTTAATGTGATTAAATTCTAACTTCTAACAGTGAAATGTTTTCTAATGTGTGTTTTTTATTGAACATTTTAATCTCGTAAACATTTTGATCATTTTGTCTCAATTGTTCATGTCATGTTTTCATGTTTCAGAGTCAAAGACATTAGATGCGATGCACCTGAATGTACATGTATGTTGTAAACACACAGACGTGTGATCAGAGGAATGTTGCAGCTCGGAGCTTTGATGAGTTCGCTCACATTCATCAGTGTGAGTTAGCCATGCATGCTAATTGCTCCAGAATGAAAAACCTTTCACTTTTCTTCTGCCTTCATCTCCTCCATTGTCCCGACTCAGGAGGGACATTCAATACCTCAGAGACTCAGAGTTCACCAAACTTTAACCAGATAAAAGATATTCCAATGTATAAATAAAAAAATCTAATTGAATTTATTTCAGCTGTTTTGTACAGATCTCACAAAATCTGCAAACAATTATGACTCCAATAATTCATTAACACAAGCTTACAATGAGACAGATTCATTTAGAAAAGTTCTCTGTGGATTCTTTAATTCACTAATTGTGCAGTAACGTATAGTTGGTCATGAAAACGCTGCTGCTAGGCAACAGCAACAAGGATGCTGATATGAATGATACTGGTACATGCTACAGAGGCTTTATCAAGCTAGCAGACGAACATCATGCAGGACTAAATGTCCTTGCATGTTCTAACTGCACATGACTACAATACTTATATATAATAAATCAACCACCAGGGGGCGACACGCTTGGGAGGACTCGTCATCAATGAGACGAAATGATGCTGTGAAGCAGAAAGGGATCATGGGAGTTGTTGTTCTCTGGGTTTGTTGGAAACATTCATGTAAATATCAAGTCAATTTATTTTACAATATTGAGTTTGCAACATAGTTTTTTTCACACATAAGCTTCTCTGCAGCGCCCCCTGCGGCCGGAAGTTGTCCCTGTCAATGCGGACGTTACTGCCCCTTTAAGAGCTTCATCGATGACGACATCAGTGTATTTTTACCGCGGTGACATCATCTCTTGTGCAGCGCGGCACCGCGGCCCCTCTGTGCTCGTGTCCGGAGAAGACGCCTCCTGCCCGGGGCAGATCTGAGCGGAGCTCCGCTGAGGACCAGGCCGGACGGTTCCTCCGCTTCTCCCGGTGAGTCTCAACACTTTCTGCCTCGGCCTCAGACCAGCGGCGGCGCCCGGTAAAGTTCCGGTAACGGGCCCAAAGTTTCGCTTCAGTCCGTGTGGTTGAGCTAATCACCGACTGTTGACGTTTACCGAGGTTTACCGACGATTATCGACGGTACCGTGAGGAGAGGAACCGACTGTGATCGGTCAGTGTGTCGGTTACATCGAAACAGATCAAATGTCAGAGAGCGGTGAGCTAACGTCAGAGTAACGTCAGAGTAACGTCAGAGTAACGTCAGAGTAACGCTGAACTCAAACTGTTCACGTGTCTTATCTTCAAGAGGTTTTAATTTAAACATGTAAACATGGACGAGAGACCTGATGTCAACAGAAAGTATTGAAATACTTTACATTTAAATATAAAGTATTTAAATATAAATGGTTGTATTTTTAAAGAGCTTTTCTAGTCTTGAAGACCACTCAGAGCACTTTACACTACAGTTTTCCATTCACCCATTCACACACACATTCATACAGTGCTTCTACAGCTAGCACTTTTTTTGTTGTTCAATTGGGCAACGTGGGGTTCAAGGACACTTTGGCATGCAGATGGGAGGACTGGGGATCGAACTTCCGACCTTCTGGTTGGAGGACGACCACTCTAACTTTAAAAGTTCAAAAAGGATTTATTATAAAAAACTTAACCCCCCTGTAAAGCAGGAAAGGTTTAGTTAGCGTCCCTTTAAGTAAAAAGATGTTTTATAAGTTTACATTCCTTGTCTTAATTCTTCTTAACATCATGTACGTCAGTGGGATGACAGCTGAAGAAATGTTTCTGTAACAGCTGTCGACCAGATGCTTTCATTCATGTCTCTTCATCTAAAACCCAACCTTGGTGTGATTGACAGCTAGTACCGACCAATGGGTGCAGGTGGCAGGTGTAGGTGTGTGGTCAGTGTCCTCTAGCTCTCAGTCAGGCTCCACCCCCAATCCTCCCAATATGGTTACTTCTGGTTTCAACAAACCAAGATGGCGCTGGAGGAAACGGCAGCTCACAAATCAACAGGTGACGTCACGGTGACGGTTGATACTTGACTTTAACACAATGTCCTTCAGGTGGACAGACTCAGTCTCGTCTTTCTAAATAAGACGAAAACATTGTCTCGTATGTGCGATGATGTGTTTTCTTTCTTTTTATCTCCAGAGCAGCACGGACTCAGCTCACGTTCAGTTTTTTCTTGTTTTATCTGAGGAGAGCGTCTCACTCTGCTTTTAAACCTCATCTGTCTCAGTTGAGCTCCGCCCCCTGGGTTTGAGTGAGCTGTTAAACTCCTCTGATTGGCCTCGTCTGTTCTTGTCTGACGCTGTGACAGAATTATTTTGTTTCATCCATCAATCCATCCATCCATTTATTCATCCATCCATCCTTTCATCCATTTATTCATCCATCCATCCATTTATTCTTTCATCCATTTATTCATTCATCCATTCATTCATCCATCCTTCACTGATGACGTGTCCAAGTATCACCGTAAGGTGTATTCAACTCCCAAATAATTAAATATTTATATAATGTAATTAAATAATTAAATATTTATATAATGTAATTAAATATTTATATAATTTCATGTGATCATTAAATTCAGATACTACTTTCATTTGATTATTGATCTGATGAGATCCTGTAAAAATGAGATGTCTCACTCTGTGTGATATTTTGTCTCCTCTCACAAACTATCTCTGACACACTCATTTATTCAGGCGTCATGATTGACAGCTGAGCCTGACTCAGGATTAGTTCATGTGTTCATGTATGAATGTGTTCACGTGTTCATCCGCTCTGCAGACGTGATGAAACTCGTTTGTTTTGGTTCAGACTCATTTTTCTTTTTCTTTCTGTGAAACTGAAACTGAACCGAATCTTTTTTTGTCTCAGAATCTGAAACGACTTCGACATGACGACCAGGTGGAGCGGCTCAGTGATGTCATCAGATCATGAGAACAGAGCTTTTGTTTCACGCCTGCTGTGAATGAGACCTGCCCCCCCCACAACACACACACACACACAGTTAGTGAGATAGAAGGGTTTGGATTTTTTGCCTTTCAGGATAGAGTGAGGCCTCTCTCTCTCTGTCTCTATCTCTTCTCTCTTCCTCTCTCTCTTTCGCTCTCTGTTTCTCTCTCTCTCTCTCTCTCTCGCGCTCTCTGTCTCTCCCTCTCTCTCTCGTCCCGGGGTTTTTTGGGCTGCCAAGCGCCATTAGGATGACATCATACCGGCCCGACACAATGGAGCACTTCATCCTCTGAGGTTCCTCGCCAGGCTGTGTCACTGCGCTGGACCGCCGGCCCAGGACGCTCAGAAGGAGGGGGGACTACGAGTAGGGAGGGGAGGGGGTTGGGGGTGGGTGGGAGTAGGGTTTTGACGTGTCGGAGCATCCGGGGTCCAGGTCCCGATGCTGAGGCCCAGGGAGGTGCGCCCCATCGGGGCGGAGGCTCTGGTGGCGCTGCTGGAGGGGGGGCTGGATCGGGTGGTGTTGATTGACAGCCGACCCTTCGTGGACTACAACGTTTCTCACATCCTGGAGGCCGTGAACGTGAACTGCTCCAAGCTGATGAAGAGGAGGCTGCAGCAGGACAAAGTCCAGATCGCTGAGCTGCTGCAGCACTCGGCCAAGAAGAAGGTAAAACACATGCTCCACGGGGGGGGGGGGGCATCCTCAGAGGTTTTTATCTGTCTCCTCAGACGTCTCCTCAGACGTCTCCTCAGACGTCTCCTCCTCCAAAACAAGCAGCTGATTCACTCCAGTAGAAACAGTGAATGAAGCAGCTTCATGTTGAGCTCAGTGTTTCTGTGACTCGTCTCTGATGAAAACTTCTCATCCAGACGTCCGACGACTAAAATCCTTCATCTGCTTCAAATACAGCGTTAAAAACCAATAAGGGCTAAAAAGAGGATATGACGCCACCAACAGGCGACCAGAGGAAATACAGCGTTGAATATAACTAGAGATTTCTGCAGGTTTGAAAACTTGTGTCTGGTGGAGACGGACCGAGGACGAGGACGAGGAGACAGAACATGTTGAATTAAAGCTGGTGATGATGTCACTGTTTCACTCTCTCTCTCTCTCTGTTATAGTTGGAGCTGCAGGGCGATCAGCAGGTGGTCGTGTACGACCAGAGTTCTTCGGACCCGACGTCCCTCGGCTCCGAGTCGTTCCTCAGCGTCCTGCTGGTCAAACTGGAGAGAAGTTTCCCGTCCGTCCACCTGCTCTCAGGTCAGTTCACAACAGACTGTTGGGGCGTAACCATAGAAACAGTGATGAGTTTAAAACAGAAAGTTAGTGGGGCGGAGCTTGAGGGGTCATTCTGAGAGTTTATTTCTGTTTCATATGATTTGATATGATTTCATTTTGACTCGACAGTGTGATGATGAAACAGATTAATAATCAGTTAGAGCTGAAGAAGCTTCTTCGATGAAACGTCTTCAGAAACACGAGCGTCCAGTTCCTCCGTTCATTTATAATTCTGATCCCAGAGAATCCTCAGAGCAGCAGCTGTTTATCAAACACGACCTCAGGGTGACGTTATGTAACTATGATGAAATGCTGCTCCAACGACTCCGCCCACACTCTGAAAATGATACAGAACTTTTTCATTTGGACAAAAAAGCATCGAATTAAAGTTCAGTTTATCTGAAAAATCAAAAAGTGCCACAGAAGTTTTACAACATGTTGAGAATATTAACTTTCTTCATTGTTTGTAAATGTGAGTGTAAAGAAAACTTTATTTCATAGAACTGCACAGTCTCACTTCAGTTCAAATCATAAAATCATATTTATATTAAATATTATAACGTAATAAAATGTGATCTAGTTTATATCCACAGTTAAAAACCAGTGAGGCTGGTTTCCTAGCAACAAGA